GACGAAAAATCACTTCCGGTGACGTCACCGGAAGTGATTTTTCGTCAAAAAAAGATGGCGGCGCCCAGCTGACGCCGGAACCGGGCCGCGGCGTCGAAAAGGTTGGGGATCCCTGACTTAACTCACTATGGGCAAAGATGTAAAACTGAGTATCAACAGCATACTCAGCAGACAATGATCTCACTAAGCTTCTTGTAGATGTCAAAGAGAAGTGGAGAAGAAGGCGAGGGATGGCTGTCTCATTCCCAATCAACACTGAATGAAAATGGCCTCAGATAAAGGAAGTAAACCAGGACAATACAGTGACCCTCACTCCCAATCCCAGAGTCATTTCAGACGATAACCAATAGTACTCAATCGTCAATGATATCAAAACTCTTCTTCAAGGGATAAACTTTTCTACCCTTTATTGAAAAAATAAACCTTAACATATTATTTTCACTTCATTTTTAGTGGATACCATATTTTGAGAAACTTAAAATCATGGATTTGAACTACACTAAGGCCTCCTGAAACCCACTTTGAATCATAGCAGATTGATATTATCCGACTGTCTATCAAACAATGGAGCTCATCATCAAGGTGATAAAAGCTGCTCCTGAGTACTACAATAATTGTGCCAGGAAGTGGGGCGGGGGGGAGAGGAAGGGGGGAAAAACCTTGAAAAATCTCAATCCCTTTAATCAGAAATGAAAGAAAATTCAATTTAAAATATATTACAAAGGGCAAAGTGAAGGGAAAAGGTATTTCTTCTGATCAAAGTTAAGTTTTTTCTTCTTGGTTGCTTCAGAGAGGCAGGAGTCATACAGAAATCTAGCATTTTCTGAAAACAAAACTAGGCTAAGTGAACTGCAACAGAAGACATTACTTATCAGTCCAGCCATTGCAATCTGCTTTACCTCTAACCAAGAACTATTTGAAGTAAAAAATAACTTCAAATTTTGAATTTGAGTATTTCAGACTTACCAAGATAATAATTCACAAAATCAGCAGTCAACGCTGGTTGTTTATGCTTTCGTCTTCCATCCACACTGGAACTGGTATCTGAAGTGTCAACAGGAAAGATATCTGTACTAATGCCCATTAATTCAGCTTTACGCATGAGCTTACGTATTGCTGAAGCACTGCTAGTGAGTGGCCGTGGCAATTTTTCTCTTGGAACCCAGGCTTGTGGTCTTGTGGTGCGTGCTAATTCTGCTTTAGCACGGTACTGCTGAAGTCTGGCATTAATTCGAGCCTATGTCACAAAATCAAACATTGTAATGTACAAAATCAAGGGAAAGAAAGAAATTTCATCTTATTTTAAAAACTATACATTTATATTGCAGCAAAGACAAATTGTGCTTAATACATGCTAAATGAATTATCAAGAGAGTCTATTATGGACTCTACTCTGTATACAGTGATCCTGCATTATTCAAGAGCATGTTATCCTATCATGCAATCCAGAAACTTAAAAAGTCTGATAATGGAATCTATTTTCTTCATAATCTGTTTTTCTTCAAAAGCAGTTTGGAATTTTCCAACTCATGGCACAAAACAATTTTTGTTAAGTAGTAGATATTGTTAAGTAGTATCACTGCAACTTGCAACCTTTCCTGCCATCTTACCCACTGATTTTGTGAGAAGCCAACTGGGAAGGTCACAAATACTGATCATATGATATTGGAATGCTTCAACTGTTCTAATGTAAATCAGTTACCAAAGACCTTAATTTTGATCATGTGATCATGGAGAAACTGACAGGCAAAAATGCAAGAACCAATAGTAAGTCACATTTTTCAGTGTTGCAACTTCAAAAGGCTGCTTAACAAATGGTCATAAGTTAAGAACTACCTGTATAACCACAAGATGTGTCTCTCATCAATCATAACCAGGTTAAATATTATCAGCATATATGAAAAATTAGAGCACATGTGCCAATGCAAATCACTTATTTATCTGAATTATAATTCTCTTTTTTATCCATTTCTGCAAAAAGGAAGTCATTTCTTGGGAATTCTTTGAATAGAACAGAACAGAACAGAATAGAATTCTATATTGGCCAAGTGTTATAGGCTACACAAGGAATTTGTAGGTAATATAGGTAATAGGAAGGATGAGAATAATAATACAGTCTTAATAAAAAGTTTGACAATGTTGTGGGAATTAGTTGTTTAGCAGAGTGATGGCATGTGGGGAAAAACTATCCTTGTGTCTAGTTGTTCTGGTGTGCAATACTCTATAACGTCATTTTGAACATAATCTTAAATGCTATGATTTCATTAATTAATTTGGTCATATCATGGTTTCGATTATTTCAACTTCAATAGAATAAAGATGTGGATTCATGGAAACCAAAAAGCTGAGAAACAGGATGCTAATTTAAGACAACAAAAATATTACACTGTTTGCAAACAGGTAAACAAAATATTTGAGAATCAGTGTTTCCAGAAATGCTTGCTTCATTTAATTTTGCTGTATAATTCTTATTCAGAAGCTTGTACCAAATACAAACAAACAATAATAATACCTGAGCTTCAGGTGAAAGTTGTTTTTCTCTTTCTTGCAAAGACATTTTACAGTAGGACTGTAAAGCCAAATAGTTCTTGCGCTTCCATTTTCTATCCATTCTGTCAGCATGTTGTTTACAGTAAGCAAAGAAAGGATCTGCAATATCCTAAGGCAATGAAGCAAAAACAAATAATATTTTTATCAAATTTATTTGCCACTCATCTTACAGAAGTGATTCTAAGTGGCTTACAATAAAAGAAATATGTACAAATATGAAAACAATTATAAATATGACAACAGATTAAACATTATATTAGAACAACTAATAAACCTAATTTTGGAGGGGACAGGTGGAGGTGCCTTCTCTGTTAGTGCACCAACTATTTTCAGCCAACAGCTTTTCTATCAGGACCCCATGTCAGTTTGTATACCCAGGTTTTAAGACTTTTCCTGAAGGTTAAAAGAGAGGGGCAGATCTTACCTTCTGTGGCAAGATGTTCCAAAAGAGGGAAGTCATGGCAGAAATGCCTGGATTTCTGTCCAGGCATTCTGGACAGATTTCTGTCAAGGAATTCTGGAATTCCTTGGCTGACAGCATCTATAGTAAGCTCTTTCTCCTGTTACAAGTGGACAGGCTGATTCCCTTGTGGAAAAATGGTTACCCCCTGGACCCATACCACAGAAGTTTTAAAGGTAATAACCAAAATCTTGAATTGCATCTGGAAACAGATTGCAGATTGTTACATGTGCTACGCTTAGGGGTGTCCAAAACTATTCACTCTGCTGCATTCTGGACCAATTGTAGCTTCTGAACACTCTCCAAGGGTAGCTCGGTGTGAGAGAGTTGCAATAATCCAAGCTGAAAATTAGCTGGGCATGAGTGACTGAGTGCAGGACATCATGATCCAGAAAAGAACATTAAAGCTTCTAAAACAGTTTTTTTCAATCATGGTATAAGCAACTCATGTTGCAGGATCCACTCTGAGTAGGTCATGGAATCAGAAGTTTATTTACTCATGCTAGAACTCATTCTCAGGAAACTTCTCATTTTCCAGAATGTGTGCACTGGGCTGTTTATACATAGTTTTTATTTGGTGCTTGATTGTGTGCGGCTTTTAATTATTAATCTGGGTGTTGATAGCTAGCTATTAAATCATTGATTGTTGTTTCCTTGTGCTGCCCTGCCCTCAGCTCCTAAGTACTTGGTAAGCTGATAGTAACTCAATACTCCTGTTGATTGACAAGGGGCTTCAATCTGAACACCAGGCTTCAATCATTTCAATTTTTGTCTTTTGGCTATTTTTGTCCCTGCTTGATCAACCATCTTAATGGCTGTGAAACTAAATCCACAGTGCAGTTCAGAATAACCCAACATTCAGAAGTATGAGAAATTCCCTGAGGATAGGTTCCAGCATGAATCCGAAGGCTTGGGAGAATAAATCTCTGATCCTGGTGACTGACTCAGATTGGATCGCGCAACATTATCCTGAGACACGTATATTTCCCTTCATTCACAATTCAAGTTTGGCATTTTTTTAATGAAGGCAAGTCAAATTGAAAAACCTTATCAACTTCTGAAAAACTATAGGCTTAAAGAATTATTGGTTTTATGTACACATAAACAAGTATATTTTTATTTCTGTCATTACACAGATAACACAATTGATAGTAAGTATTTTACAACCAAATGCAGCTTTTTAAAAGCAATAGATTATTATCTGAGAAAATATCAGACCAAAATGATGGATGGCATGGGGCATCTGAACACTTTGTTATTTGATTAGAGAAGCACTCAACTGTAATAGAGCTGAAGGTCATAATCAACCTATTCACAGTTGTTTTTAGTATAAAACAATTGCAGAAGAAATTCTTTCTATCAAAAACAAATAATCTCTCTATAGAAAACAGAAGGAAAAGAGGAAGGCAGACAATGCCTATATTATGATGTAAGAAAAAAAAAACCAACTTTAAAATAAAGTATGCTATTGTCCCCTAAATATTTTTTCATCGACTACTTGCACTTAAATCTAAGTAGGGCTTCAGGATACCAAAATATAAATGCTGTTATGTATGATATTTTAATATGTTCACCTGAATTTTTAATGGTAACAAATGCCATCTCAAACTAAATCATTAGAATATTCAAGTTTACTTACCTCCTCTGCTGCCGCTTCTGATAATAGACCTTCTTTCTGAGCACAAGTCACATGGAAATAAGCTCTACACATTCCAGCATCACAGCTAATACAAACACCAGTTCTTGCAAAACGAGGATCTTCACAGAAGCTACATTCCTGCCGCAGATCAGTGAGAGAAAGCAATTGAATAAATATTAGAAAAACAGAATACTACCATAGGTAATTGTTTAACCATGGTAACTGAGTGTAGTGTCACATGACTTCATTGCTTAGAGATACAATTATGGCAATCCCCACTGCCATTGTTAATAAAATCCCACCAGTCATTAGGCAAAGACTTACCCTGATCCAAGTCATTCCCAGCTAGGTACTTCCCAGCCCTGAGTAAAGTAAGGTGAGGGACTGTCTCCTCTTTAACTCTCTCACCCAACTATCTCTCTTTCCTCTTTTTTATAACAAAAACAACAACAAATAAAACCATCTTTCAGTTCAATAGTGTGTTGGTTGTGTACATATATCTTGTGCACATAATAATATTATACATTTCTTACTTGCTTACATTTATAACCATTCTAATCAACATTTTATATCATTTTGTTCAATTATTCTTTTATCATTAACCTTATCATTTTTCAAGAATATATTTCATCCTTATTAAATTATATTCATTTTTTTTACTCATTCAATCAGTTGTAATATGTTATTACTATTCCCATATATTTCAGTTTCTTACTCTTCTGTCTAACCATTCAAAAATAAATTCCAAATCTTATAATACTCTTTTTCTTCCTGTTCTCTAATTGCCACTGTTAATCTACTCATTTCTGCACATTCCATTGTTTTCTTAATTGTTTCCTCCTCTGTCGGAATTTTCTCATTTTTCCAATTTTGTGCAAACACAATTCTAGCTGCTGTTAATACATTGATAATCACATATGTTATCTCTCTATTATAACCTTCAGGCAAAATTCCCAATTAAAATATCTCTGGTTTTAAATCTATATGTTGTTTTAACATTTTTTCCAACCACATGTGTATTTTAGTCCAATATCTTTTAGCATCAATGCATGTCCACCACATATGGCAATATGATCCAGGCGTCTGATGACATTTCCAACACTTCCCTGACTTGTTTTTGAACATTTTTGCTATTCTCGCTGGGGGTAGGTGCCATCTGTAAAACATCTTATACCAGTTCTCTTCATAGGCAGTTGACATAGTTAATTTATAATTTCTAGTCCATAGTGTCTGCCATTTATCTAAATCTATCCCATATCCAAAAAAATTTCCCCATGCAATCATTGTTTCTTTAACTTGCTCTTCTTCTAGTTTCACTCATAGTAAATAACCATATTGTTTTTTAATCATCTTCTCTTCAGTGCCTGTTAAAAGTTTATTTAATTTAGTTGATTCTTTGTAAAGCCCAGCCATCTTAGTATCTTTTTTCAAACCTTGCATGTATTTGCAAATATGAATACCAATCTATATTTATCCCTTGTTCCTCTAATTCTTGCTTTGTTTTGAGTTTACCCTTTTCACTTAAAATTTCCTCATGTCTAATATGTTCCCTTTTAAAAACACTTGGATATGCAAATGCCTCTATTGTTGATAACCAGACTGGTATTTTCATACAGTGATATTCTCTTACTTTCTCCCATATTGTTATTAAAGCGACCCTGACATAATGTCTCCTAAAATAACCATGAGCCTTACTTTCATTGTACCATAGGAATGGTGCCACCCCAATTGCAAATCATGTCCTTCCAATGTTAACAATCTGGCATTTTTCAGTACAATCCATTCTTTCATCCACATCAATACTGCTGCCTGATAATATAGTTCCCAATTGGGTAGACCAAAACCTCTTCTCACTCTTGCATCCTGCAGCAATTTTATCTTAATTCTTGTCTTTTTCCCTTGCCGAATGAATTTCAGCATCATTTTATTTAAGTCCTCAAAATATTTTTTCCTCAATCTTATTGGGATTGTCTGGAATAAGTATAGTAATTTTGGCAATATATTTATTTTGATTGTCACTATTCTCCCTGTTAAGGATAGTTTTTCCAAGTCTGTCGCAATCTGTTGTTTCAATCTGTCATAATCGTCCTCTTTAAGAGTTTCATATCTAGTTTCATATCATTTGTATCCCTAAATTTTTTACTTTTTTTGTGATCTGGATATGTAGTTTGTCCATTAATGTTTTCTTTGTTTTCCTGTCATGTTTTTCACTAGATTTTTTGTTTTTTCTTTGTTTATTTTCAGTCCTGCAACCTCTCCATATTATTCTATCTCTTCAATCAGCTTGGGACCTGTTTCCAAAGGTTCTTCCAATATGAAAACTAGATCATCTGCAAATGCTTGTAGTTTATACTCATTCTTTTATATTTTCATTCCCTTTGCTTCTTTATTTTTCCTAATATTTCTATTCAATACTTCCAAAGTCAATACAAATAACAGTGGCGACAGTGACCTTGTCTAGTTCCTTTTTTAATGTTAATGTTATCTGTCAATTCTCCGTTTATCATTATTCTTGTTGTTTGCTTGTTATACAGTATATTGCCTGCATTGCCTTAATAAATCGATCTCCAAAGCACATCTTTTCCAATTGCAAAAAGGCTTTCTGAGCATGTAGAAAAACCAATGCCATTTATTTCTCTGGATGTGTTTCATAGTATTCCAGTGTGTTCAATATTATCCTCGTATTATTTTTTATTTGTCTCTTAGGCAGACTATCTCTCTTTCCATATCTGCTACTTTAGCTACCTTGTCAGGCTTCCCAGGTAGACCAGACAGGAAATATGAGCAGATGAGCTAATTCTAATTTATTATAACAGAATCTTGCAAGTCCGACAGTATGCATCTCTTGCTGTCTCTTTTACAATCTGAAAAGTTAGGAAGAATTCTTTCTGAGTATCTTTATTATTCTATTATGCAGTTACGGGCTATGTCTTCCCTTATCTGATTGTTCCGGGAACATCTCTCCCCTGCCTCTTTCAGAGTTATTTTCACATACCATTACATCCTGCAAAACGACACTCCTTGGCAATACAGGCAGCACTGGGGCCCAAAAAAGAGGTCTAGGATCTTCAGTAGTCTCACCAGATGCCACTGCCCCTGGGCTTCTACTTCAGCAAAGCTCTGCTGCTGCCAAGGAGTGAGCCTCAAGCCTACTGCAAACCATCCTAGTACACAGAGTAAAACCATAACCATCTGCTGCCTGCTGCGCACAATCACCCTCACTTGTCTTTGTCCTGCTGCTGATAAGGCCTTTATGCAAAAGCCCCTAAAGCAGAGGTGTCAAACTCGCATTGTCATGTGACATATCACAACTTTTTCTCCTTCATTAAATTGGGTGTGGGCATGGCCAGTTTGTGATGCATCCAGCCCACAAGTTTGACAGCCCTGCTCTAAAGCTTTCCAAAACATGAGGCCAGCGTACCTGAATTGGGGAAAGGCATGAGAAGCCTGAGGAAGAATATCTGGTGCCTCTACTTTAGCCCCAACATCACCAATATTGAAGAATTTTGCTTTTCAGGGCAGCCAAATGGATAGAAGTTGGTATAGCTGAAGCATCCCTATGGTTATAAGTACAGGGAAGCTGTACAGTGAATGGTTGTCAAACAAGGCCACTTATATATGGAGTATGCTTTAAAGTATCTTGACTGCTTTCAAAATGTACTTTTAAAAAATAAAATGGAGAAATAAGCATACAATACAAATGATGGGACAAATTAAAATAGATTTCTCCCCCTCTACTTTCAACAGAAAAAATCACATAAATTATTCTAAATTTCTGAAATAAAATTGAATTAGAATTGGGTATTTGTTTTTTTTTGCCTCACTTTTAATTACAATTCCCACAAAGATAATATAATCCGTATGAAGTAAATAAACATAGAATCAAGATCACATGAAGTACTAGTACCATTCTGTAAAACCCTAGTAAGACCACACCTGGAATACTACAACCAATTTGGATTACCATACTACAAAAAAGATGTTGAGACCTTGAAAAAGTTTAAAGAGCAACTAAGATAATCAAAGGCCCAGAGACTAAAACATATGAAGAAGAATGGCTGCAGGATTTGGGTTTGGCTAGTCTAAAGAAAAGAAGAATTAGAAGTAACATGATAGCAGTATTTCTGTATTTGAGGGGCTGCCACAAAGAAAAGGGGGTCAAATTATTCTCCAAAGAACCAGAGGGCACAAGAAACAATGGTTGTAAACTAACCAAAGAGAGAAGCAACCTGGAATTAAAGAGAAACTTCCTAACTGTTCTGTTCTGTTCTATTCCATTTCTATTTGTATTCTATATAACAATATGCAAGATCATAATAACAATGAACAATGATTACATTGCTTCTAATCTCCATAAATAAATATGGTTCATAATAATAGGAAAAATATTATATTGATCTATAGTACATTTTGAATACTTAGTTGCAATGAACAGAAGCAAACAAAATAAATACATAATAGCAATCTATATATTAGGAAAATATATCTCTTTTCAGGTTACCTTTGCACCGTACTTGGAATAGTTCATTTCTGTAAGAGTTACTGGTCGCAATTTGTCAATATCTCCAAATGCCACTCCGGGGACATATAATGCACAAACAATATGAACCCATCTATAACAAAAAAGGATATTGTGCATTTTGTTACATTTGTTTACAATAGAAAAAAAAGGAGTGAGACAATATATATCTAGTTTCTTTACCTCTGAACAATAAAATATAGAAAATAAAATGTTGCATTGATCCAATTGATAATTGTATCTTCTACAAATCTGGAGTATTAACATAAGAATATGTTTTAAATTACAATTAATAAGGTTGAAGCATTTTACATATCCTTCTTGAATTTCTTAGGTTAAAATAAAAAATAATATTTTCTGCATGCCTTTGAACACCCTATATTGCAAGCTTCTGTATAGATAACTGGAATATGTGCAGATAAAAATTCACAGATTAATTTCTATTTATGAAACAAAATATTTCTCTTATCCTCCAAAAACAGATCTTAGCATAAAAAATAACTTGCAATTCATCCATGTATTAGAACTATAGAAGCACATTAATAATCTAATAAGCAGAATATAATTAACCTATAATCAGTACAAATAATGGCTTAAGTAAATAACCAATGGCAATGCTGTTGTATCTCTAAAAGAAGATCTTTCATCATTGCAGATAATACTAAGCTGGCAGGAATAGTTAACATCCTAGAAGATAGGCTCAAGATCCAGAAGGATCTTGACAGACTTGAACACTGGGCCCTATCTACAAAATGAAACTCAACGTAGAGAAAAGTAAAGCCTTACACTTATGCAAGAAAACCAAAAGTACATATATAGACTGAATGAAATCAGGCTTAATAGCCGTTACTGTGAGAGGGAGTCTTAGTGGACAGCCAGTTAAATATGAGCCAGCAGTGTGCAGTGGCAGCCAGGGGTAGGATTCTACCGATTCTATCTGGTTCTATAGAACCCCTTGTTAACTTTCTTAGCAGTTTGGAGAACCGGTAGTTAGAAGCAATCTCCTTTTGTTTTTTTCCACTCTTATTACATTCTTGGCAGACAGCCTAGACTTACTGTCTCTGGAGCTTCTGAAACTTTCATAAAGGGGAAGAGTTGTTTTAAAAATTTTACACTGCTGTTGGGAGGAAATACTTCCCTGGACAATCAGCACTTTGAAGAAATAATTGAATAATGAAGCAAAGCTTTTAGTGACAGGGAACCAAGACTGACATTCAGCAAGGCTTCCTGGCTAGCTAGAAGGATTGACATTCAATCAAACGTGAGTTTACATACTCTTTCTGAGTTTTGATCTAAAACTGGTTTTTGGTGAAGGTTAATTCTGTGCTTGGTGAAGTTTAATCCTGTGTTAATTGATGGGATAATTTTCCCTATTCACATTCAACAAGCAACATCTACTGTTGTGATTGAATTATTTGTATTGTGTTTGAATTTTTTTCTTGCCTCATGGTTTCTTTTTCTATTTGGGGAGGGGGTCTTCCTTCACCGCTTTAATACGATAGTATTAAAGGCACTATCCTTTTGGGGTATACTTCCAAAAGGCAGGATGCAAGCTTGGCACTGATTTTTTTTACTGCCTTTTTTTTGGGGGGGGCATGTGACTTTTCCTTAAATCTGGGTGATTTCCTTAGGATATCTTGTGAGGTGAGTGAGACCAGCTGGTATTTTTAAGTGTCCAAATGGATCCAAGTATTGATTTTCCTGGGTGTGCTTTTTCTGAAGAGCTTAAATGATCTCTCTGCTAAAGGGTTTCACTTTATGAGCAAGAGTTGGTTGCTTGATAGTTATCACTGCATTTTAAATATTTTCATTCTTCAAGGTGCTCTGGCACTCTGCCTGATTTGTAACTCTGGCTTGCAAGTATTTTTAATCTAATGATTGGTATTAAGGGCAGCTTTTTGCAAGCAAATAAGCTTTTTGTATTTTGGTACAGGTAATCCTTGACTTACAACAGTTCATTTAGTGACCATTCAAAGTTACAATGGCACTGAAAAAAGTGACTTATGACCATTTTTCACACTTATGACAATTGCAGCATCCCCACTGTCATGAGAGGCCAGGCGAGGAGAAGTGCCCCTTGACATAAGTGATGTCGAGTTGGCCATGCCCACCCAGTCACATGACTACCAAGCCACACCCAGGAACTAAGCCATGCCCATAGAACTGGTTGTTAAAAAACCTGAATCCCACCCCTGGTGGCAGCCAAAAAAGCCAATGCAATCCTAAATTGCATTAACAGAGGGTTAGGGTTAGGACTGCAACCCATCAAGAGGATTATCCTTTGTGCCTAATATGTGTGATCTGTTAACTTCATCTGAAAAATAGATATATTGTAAAATCATGCAACAATTATATCCAAGGACACTCTATGCAAGTTTGTGTATGTTTTAAATCAGATTTTGTTAATATGCTGTAAGCAGAATTGAAAAGAATTTCAATCTGCACAAAATTTCTTACATCCCCAACTATTTTTGCCATGTGACAACTTGCCATTTTAATGTGTTTTCTATGAAAAAAGGAAAAATGTGGAAATATAGAGCAATTCTTTACAGAAAACATTCATGCAAAAACAAAATGTTAACTCATTAAATAGATATTTTTTGAAGATCACAAGGACTTTTCTTTCTTTTTTTAAAATCTCCACTGAAGTATTACAAAGGAAAACCAGTTGTTAGAAAATAGAGAGAAATAATAGGCCACCTTCACATTATCTTCAATTATTTTTGTTTTAAAGGAAAGGTTTTTGCTGGAGATTTTTGATGCAACCTCACTATTGTACCCTGTGGAGTTCAATATAAAGATACACATCTTCAACCACAGCTGCTTCTCAATTTAATTTGCACAGTTTTTTCATGCTCCACTGGTGTATTAAATGCTGCTGCACTTTGTAGGAGTTTATCTATGATAAACCCAACAGCTGGCTGCTTGCTTCATAGTGACCTTCTCAAAATGTTTTAGTACATGTCACACAAGTACTGTAGTATTACAGATTTAAGCTGCCATTTCAGAATGATTGGCACACAAGTGTCTCACTTCCTCAACCATCTATCTGTGAACTCCATCCTAAATCTTTATTAAAATACACAGAAGTCAGTCAAGTTCACAGCTGAGGCAGCTTCAGCTGCTTTTAATACTATTGCCTAAATGTTTTCCTGCTCATTTATTTAGCTGCACATGTTTGAGAACCTTGTAATTAAGGCAAATTGGGTAATCAAATAAGAATAATCTTTCGTGTTACTTCCTCATCTATTTTGCTCAGAGCAAAGATGACAGATGTTGGTGATTGGAAAGAAAAAAGAAACAAACAAAATATAAACAATAGTCTTATTTTGGTGATAGCAAAATAGAAGAGTTCATCCTGTCCCAACCATTCATAAAATTAAGGAATAGATTTAAAAAGAGATGTGTTTAATGTTAACTATTTAATAGAATATAACTTCATATTAAAAAGAGAATTGTAAAAGAAATAGTTTTATAATCACACAAATTTAAGTCAGAAAAAAATGTACAATTTATCATACAACCAACTTTTGACATCATAGGCTCAAGTACATTTTAAGTGGGTAATCTTGTGGGTTCCCATTATTTAATAGTATTGTCTATTGTGGGTACCCTTTTCAACTTTGAAGAGCATGTTTTTACAACCTATTCAATGCTCAATAATGTAGGGGGAAATTTTTTCTTTCTTTTTCCTTTCCATCTTCCTGCGATCTTCTCCACTGCTTCAGATCAAAATCTGTACTTTCATCACTACTTAATGGTTGTTGACAGATTGTTTTTTTAAAAGCAAAACGTTCTTTTTCCTTTCCCCCATATTGAAACCTCCATTTATATATCCAAAGGAAAGTGTTTCAATCTCACATCCCACTCATATCCAATCAAATCAAGACAAACCTTTATTATGGGTCATCAATCCATTCTATTTATTCACCCAATTGAAAAGTCATTCTATAGTGAATTAAGTCCACTGAAGAGAAATTGTGTTTATTATATTTTAATTTATAAATTAATATATTTTACAAATAGGGGAGTTGATTTTCTTCTCTATTGGCATACAAAATCTTAATTTGAATCTGCCCTTTTAGTATTTTAATTGAAAATAATATTTTATTACACAATTCAGCAAGATACTACCCCTCTAATTTTTCTGTCCCCGCTTGCATTCAACATAGATGATGCCTTTGGAAGATGTTTGCATCATTTATTGCAAATTGTTTCCTTGTTTAAAATTTGGGATTTTTTTAACATATAGTTGTGCAAATATAGGTTTTCTCTATAGAGTTACAATATCTGGGCTACAAGAATTCAGACAATGAGGTCTAGCTCTTAGCATTCCCAAAATGTTAACTCTGTGCTACTGGTATCTTTCTCCATAGTATCATTTCAACTTCAGACTGCCAAACACATATCACTGAGCTTCTTCCTGATGAAACAATGATATCAAATTAACTGGATAAGTTCCTGAATATTCATACTGCTTTCAGATCATTTTAAAAAGATTATTTATATCAGAAAAGCTTTAAATGACTGTAAAGTGGCTTACAAAATAGTTTTTTTTAAATATCTGCATACATACTTCCATACTTTTTCAAAAGAAAAAAAATGATAATTAAGTAAGCTGCATACGTCAAAATTATAAAATTAGTCTTTCAACCCCATCATTGAAATTGCAGTCTATGGACTGGTTTCCGGTGGTAAAACCATTTTTAATGCAGTTCCATCAAATTAAATATTCAAATTCAAAAAGGTTACTTTAAAACAACATCATAGTAAATTTGTGAATTACTTTGTATTTCTGAGACTCTTGATTTAATATATTTAGGTGTCTCTGAATACAAATGGAGAAATGGAACTATGTGTTATTTCATTGTTAGAAAATGTGGCTGAGTTTCAGAGGCTTTCTTTGTAGCAGAAGTAATAAAACTGATTAAGACTGAAAGCAACAGAATAGTATTTGGCAAGTTGTTAATGCCCAGCCCAGCCAAATGTTCTTGCACCTTGAATAGATGGATGGCAATCTATAGTTCGTTCAACAGCTTTTACTACTGAAGTAGTATTTTTAATTTATTTTAAGGCTAAAAACTGTGAAAAACT